TGAGCTCAAGCGCCCCCCCCCCTCCCCCCATCTATTAGTGTTCTGCCCAGTGCAAGTGCCACTTCTGCCTACCGCTAGTCCCGGCCCTGGTCAGCAGCAACAATTTGTTGGTTGGGGCCCGGGCCCCCTACATATGTATGGGCTGTTCCCCCCTCTGTTGGTGGCCCTGGTAACATGTATTAGTTTGAATCCATTGAGGGGCACAAGTTCCACACGTTGTTGTTTTTTTACTGGTCCTGTGCACTACTTGCTCACATACCTGAGGCCTGCTGGATAAGGAAGGGTTATACAGGGCCACCTAACATCTTCTTCTGTTTGTCAGTGTCCCAAACTCCTGTAGGAGGCAGTATAACCCAGCTGGTTCTGGATTCTTGTGTTCCTTCATGAATTCGAAAAAATAGAGTTTACAGCAAGTATAACAATTTGTTATTTTCTCCTTGTCTTTCTTATAATCAGAGTCATACCTCTTATGTGTTGATTAAACAATAAAGATAAATTTGAATCTGACACTGTCCAAGACAGATCACATCCTAAAGAGATGAGATCAAAAAGAAAAACGTGAACTGATTGTCAAATGTACTGACTGTGCCTAGATGTGCAGATTTATATCTATAACCATCCACTTTTATTGTGTTTCTGAGGATGAATTGTGCCGGATTTAATTTCAGAGTGATGTGCTATTTCATGCCTACTCTGATGAGTCTCTTTCAGATTTTAATGGTATTATTTACTGAATATCAAAGAATCAGTGTTTGGATACTGTTCCAAGCCCTAACTGTGTTCCAGCAAAGTTTGTTTATATATATATATACAGTATATATATATATATATATATATATATATATATATATATATATATAAAAGTACTAGAGAATTGGAACTTTTCAAAGTGAAATTTCACTTAGCTTAATGAGGAATGTGAAGCTGCTTTCACCCTAATCATCCAGTCATTTGCAAACAAACATTCATTTTTGTTTTATTTATTTCCTTTGCATATTATGGGTATTCAATCAATTTCTTAGACAATCATGATAAATAGACGGGTAGATAGATAGGGATATTTATCAAATGGAATCAGTGTAAGTATGTGAATTTGACCTGGTATCAGCCTTTTGAATACAAGGAACCAGACGTGCTGCAGTGCTCATGTGCTAACAAGGATTATGCTGATAGGTGGAGAGAGCAGGGAGTTGAGGTTATCAGTCTGCTGCTTTTCATTTAACTGTCCAATCCCTAGCTGGAAAAGGAATGGGCAGTTGAGTTGTGGTTTTTTACCATTCCCTGTCCTCCCAGCCACTGCCATTATTATTTCAATGATGGGAATGTACAATATATATGTAAAGCGCTGCGTAAATTGACAGCACTATATAAGTACCTGTAATAAATTTCAAACTTCCATTGTCATGCTGCAGAGCAAACTGTATACCAGATGCCATGTTCTGTGAGCAGTACCGCTGCCAAATGTGACCTATTCATGTGAATGAGGGTGCCACATGTGCATGCATCACTCAAAGCTGCAGAGCTGTTGCAGTGCAGCAGTATTTTAACCGCTTGCCAACTGTATTACTTAGGCGGCAGAGCAGCCTCTCTGTGCTGGATCATGTACCTAGTTTGTGATTTGCGCACTCAGGAAGGGGGCGTGCGTCTGCTGGCCTGGCTGTGCTGTGATTCGCACAGCACATGCCGATCACTGGGTCCCGGCCAATAATTGACCGCTAGCACCTGGTGATCGGCTCTGAGCTTCACTGAAAACAGCTCTGTAAATGTAAACAACACAGAGCTGTGTTCAGTGACAGGGCATCTCATTGTTTCTTTATTCCTTGCTATGCAGGGAGTTAAAACAACTGGATCCCCATTAAAAGTAGCACACAGTACACACATAAACACTTGTTAGGCACACATTTAACCCTTTGATCACTCTAGATGGTAACCCCTTCCTGTCCAGTGTCATTAGTACAGTGACAGTGCATATTATTAGCAGGTATCACTGTTATAATGTCACTGGTGATGTCAGTGGCAGTTAGTCAGTTCCCCCCAGCGTCAGTTAGTGTCAGATTGCCCACCGCACTATGGCAGTCCTGTTGTAAGTTGCTGATGTCACCATTACTAGTATAAAAAAATAATAAATAAAAATTCCAGTATACAGTGGGGCAAAAAAGTATTTAGTCAGCCACCAATTGTGCAAGTTCTCCCACTTAAAAAGATGAGAGAGGCTTGTAATTGGCATCATAGGTAGACCACAGCTATGAGAGACAAAATGAGAAAAAAAAAATCCAGACAATCACATTGGCTGATTTGGAAAGAATTTATTTGCAAATTATGGTGGAAAATAAGTATTTGGTCAATATCAAAAGTTCATCTCAATACTTTGTTATATACCCTTTGTTGGCAATGACAGAGGTCAAACGTTTCCTGTAAGTCTTCACAAGGTTGGCACACACTGTTGCTGGTATGTTGGCCCATTCCTCCATGCAGATCTCCTCTAGAGCAGTGATGTTTTGGGGCTGTCGCTGGGCAACACAGACTTTCAACTCCCTCCAAAGGTTTTCTATGGGGTTGAGATCTGGAGACTGGCTAGGCCACTCCAGGACCTTGAAATGCTTCTTACAAAGCCACTTCTTCGTTGCCCGAGCGGTATGTTTGGGATCATTGTCATGTTGGAAGACCCAGCCACGTTTCATCTTCAATGCCCTTGCTGATGGAAGGAGGTTTGCACTCAAAATCTCACGATACATGGCCCCGTTTATTCTCTCCTGTACATGAATCTGTCGTCCTGGTCCCTTTGCGGAGAAACAACCCCAAAGCATGATGTTGCCACTCCCATGCTTCACAGTAGGTATGGTGTTCTTTGGATGCAACTCAGCATTCTCTCTCCTCCAAACATGACGAGTTGTGTTTCTACCAAACAGTTCTATTTTGGTTTCATCTGACCATATGACATTCTCCCAATCCTCTTCTGGATCATCCAAATGCTCGCTAGCAAACTTCAGACGGGCTCGGACATGTACTGGCTTAAGCAGGGGAACACATCTGGCACTGCAGGATCTGAGTCCCTGGCGGCATAGTGTGTTACTGATGGTAGCCTTTGTTACGTTGGTCCCAGCTCTCTGCAGGTCATTCACTAGGTCCCCCCCGTGTGGTCCTGGGATTTTTTCTCACCGTTCTTGTGATCATTTTGACCCCACGGGGTGAGATCTTGCGTGGAGCCCCAGATTGAGGGAGATTATCAGTGGTCTTGTATGTCTTCCATTTTCTAATTATTGCTCCCACAGTTGATTTGTTCACACCAAGCTGCTTGCCTATTGCAGATTCAGTCTTCCCAGCCTGGTGCAGGTCTACAATTTTGTTTCTGGTGTCCTTCGACAGCTCTTTGGTTTTCACCATAGTGGATTTAGGAGTGTGACTGTTTGAGGTTGTGGACAGGTGTCTTTTATACTAATAACAAGTTCAAACAGGTGCCATTCATTGATACAGGTAATGAGTGCAGGACAGAGGAGCCTCTTAAAGAAGAAGGTACAGGTCTGTGAGAGCCAGAAATCTTGCTTGTTTGTAGGTGACCAAATACTTATTTTCCACCATAATTTTGCAAATAAATTCTTTCCAAAGCAGCCAATATGTTTGTCTGGATTTTTTTTCTCATTTTGTCTCTTATAGGTAAGGTCTACCTATGATGCCAATTACAGGCCTCTCTCTTCTTTTTTAGTGGGAGAACTTGCACAATTGGTGGCTGACTAAATACTATTTTGCCCCACTGTATATCCCATAGTTTGTAGGCGCTATAACTTTCACACAAACCAATCAATATACACTTTTTGTGATTTTTTTTCTTTTTACCAAAGACATGTAGCAGAATACAATTTGGGCAAAATTAATGAAGAGTTTTTATTTTTTAATTTTTTTTATGGGACATGTTTTATAGCAGAAAGCAAAAAATATTGTTTTTTTTTTCCCAAAAGTTTCTGTCCTCTTTAGTTTATATAATTAAAAAAACTGAGGTGATCAAATGCCACCAAAAGCAACTCTATTTGTGTGAAAAAAAAGATATAAATTTCATTTGGACAGAGCATTGCATAACCACGCAATTGTCAGTTAAACTAGCACAGTGCTGCATTGCATAAAATGGCCTAGTCAGGAAGAGAGTAAAACCTTTCAGAGGGCAAGTGGCTAATGTTTAGTCAAAAATTTTCCAGCGCACATGTTCCTAAAAATGGCTTGTAACACGTGGGTGTTGTAGCAACTGCTGGCTGGGAATTGTTCTTAACACAGGGTTAAAGCACATATTGCCAGCACACTGTAGACCATTAAAATAGTGTCACACTCTTTGCTGTGATATGATTGCTTTCATAAATATTTGGGAACTTCTTTGCAGATCCATTGGATGCTGCCAATACATGCTTTTACTGGGTATTAATCTTTAAAACAGGCAGTAAGTAGGTAACATATCACCTCTGAGTCAGTAATTCCCAGAACTGGATGTACAGAAATTTAAATTCTTATGGAGTTAAGACAGCTGCCATATACAGTGCTCCGCATAAATGAGTACACCCCTTTTGAAAAGTAAGATTTTAATCAATGTCTCAATGAACACAAGAACAATTTCCAAAATCTTGACAAAACTGAGTTTTATAGAACATTTGATTAGCTCATTGCATAAAAGTAAGGTTAATAATATACCTTGGATTACATAATCTTCTGTTTTACTCAAAGTAGTTGATGCAAAAATGAATACACCATGCAACAAAAACTACTACAGCTAGTATTTTGTATGATCTCCATGATTTGTAAAGACAGCACGAAGTCTTCTAGGCATGGAATGAAGAAGTTGGCGGCATATTGCAACATCTATCTTTTTCCATTCTTCAAGAAAGCCTCTTTTAGAGCCTGGATGCTGGATGGAGAGTGATGCTCAACTTGTCTCTTCAGAATTCCCCATAGGAGTTCAGTTGAGTTCAGATCAGGAGACATACTTGGCTACTGAATCACTTTCACCCTGTTCTTCTTCAGAAATGCCACAGTGGCCTTAGATGCATGTTTGGGATCATTGTCATATTGGAAAAGTGCACGACAACCCAGGGTACGGAGTGATGGTAGCATCTTCTCTTTCAATATAGAGCAATACATCTGTGAATTCATGACACCATCAATGAAATGGAGCTCCCCCGACACCAGCAGCACTCATGCAGACCCACAGAAGGACACTTCTAACTACCGCCATTAATTTACTGTAGGCACCATGCATTTTTCTTTGTACTCCTCACCTTTGCAATGCCATAGAGTTTTGAAACCATCAGTTCCAAAAACATTTATCTTGGTCTCATCACTCCAGAGTACAGAGTCCCAGTAGTCTTCTTCTTTTTCAGCATGGGCCCTGGCAAATTCTAAGTGGGCTTTTTTGTGCATGGGCTTTAGGAGAGGCTTCTTTCATGGATGACACCCATGCATTCCATTCGTCCGCAGTGTACGCTGTATTGTGTCATGGGAAACAATCACCCCAGTTTGGCTTTCTACTTCTTTAGCTAACTACAGTGAACTTGCATGGCGATTTTCTTCAACCCTTCTCTTCAGAAGATGCTCCTGTTGAGGTGTTAACTTCCAGCCTGGACATCTCTGTGAGAAGATTGCAGTTCCATCTTTGTTAAATTTTTGTATCACTTTTGTTACAATATTCTGACTGATAAGTAAAGGTTAGCTGATCTTCTTGTAGCCTTCACCTTTCTTGTGTAAAGAAATTATTTTCTTTCTCAGGCCTTGTGACGGCCTTGTGACACTTCTCTTCCATGTGGTGCCATTGCTGACAGCATGAAATGGGAAGGGGTTTCCTTTGTTAAGTAACGCCCTTTTATAATCAGTTGTCTTCTTCACACCTGTTTAATGAATAATTAGACTCACCTGAAGTAGAATTCTTGTTAATTAGGATTTTTTGCTCCTATTTGGGGTATATTCATTTTTGCAACATGGTCTTGAATGAATTTATTAGGAAAAATACTTTTTTGTGAGTGAAAATTAACAAATCTTGTTTGCAATCAATGGCCTGCATTTGTGGGAGTATTTTGTAGTATAGTGTCCCATAGAAAATGTTAATTCTGAAAGGAAAGTAAAGGTTTTCTGACAAATCTGTTGGGTTGTATTCGTTTATGCTAAGCGCTATATGTGTTTCATTTGTGTTTATAGCTGTTTGCCTGGAGTTTATTTTTGCTTCAATGCAGTGCATCATGCATAAAATCTAAAAGGAAAGCATCTATATTGCTCTTAGTAACCAGTCATTTTCAAAGAGTCATTTTTTTTAGCCCATATTAAAAATATGAGAACAATAAGTCAAGCTACAACCACTTTGTGTGTACATTAAGTGCACTTATCCTCATTAAGTGTACTTATCCTCTACTATTCCCTTCCCTAGCACATTTACAATGACTCATGATACATACCTATAACTGTAGATAACCCCACTCCATATCTTGACTCTAATCAGCCTCCACCTGAATTTTTTTAGAATTCTGCAGAGCAGAAAAAAGCCACTGCAGTGAACAGTGCTCTGTATGCGGATATCTGGTCTTTGTCATTAAAAATGATATGTCTACCTGTCTATTGTAACCTTTCTCAGTTAAAAAAATTGCACAATCAGCGTAAAGTCAGGGCAGTCTATTTAAGGATAGCTGATTTTATGGAGATACTGTAAAGTATTTATTTTCTTAGCAAGCTGACCACTAAAAATTGGAAATATCGTGGAGGTGTAAAAATTACATGTAACTTGTGAAGTTATTTGCCCACCTTCCATTTTTTTTGCTGTTCATTAAATTTAACAAGCTAAGCACGAAACAAATAAGTCAACCTGTCAAAGATAGAACTGGTAAGCTTCGTGTATAATACATTCTTGCAGCAAAGATAGGTAAGCTTTATTTTACAATCTGCTAGAGAAAATGGTTTACAATAGAAAAGAAGGAGAAAACAACTTAAAAACATTCAGATAATGTAAAGTGAGAATCTGAAGCCATCATTTTTCAATGTTGTGTTTACTGAGACACATTGTAACGGTTGGTCTCCTTGCAATTCTGGGAATTGGAAATGCCTTGTAAACGTCAAATGCCTTGCGTGACTTGTGTGGATGCTTTTTGGCGTTGACCACTTTGTAGTTATTGCTCATTAAAACTAACAAGCTAAGTTAACAAATGACGGCAGAGTCAATGTTTTAGGAAAGAAAAGTAATGCAAGATGTACATTTATTAGTGGGAGTCAACATTTACAAATACATTTGTTTTTCTGTGCTTGGAAATTGGTGTTATTAGTTTTTAATGCAGAGCTTTAAGCCCCAAAAGAGATTTTCAAACATAGGGCTCCCATGCAATAACTTTTGATTTCTATTCAACCCCCTCCCCTGTATCCGTAACACTGACCCTCCCTAAAACCCTTACACTAACATTCAATCTAACCCTACTTGTAAATCTAACACTGACCCTTCCTTTAGTTGTTAAACTAACATTTACAATAACCCTCCCTATAACTGTTACACTAACACTTGAACTAACTAGTCCTGTATCTGTTTACCCCTTCATGACCAAGGGTAAAACAAATCTTAATGCCCAGACCCAGTTTTGCAACTTTGATATGTTTTAGTAAAACTGTACATTTGATCGCAGCTACTTATTGTATCCAAATGGATTATACCATGTTTTTTTCAGGACACATTAGGCTTTCATTTTGTGATAAATGGTCATGAATATCTCCTATTTCTTTCATTATCAAAGAAAAAATGGCCCAGAATAGTAAAAAAAAAAAAACTATTTAGCAGTATATTTCTTGCTATTACCATAACTTACCACCAAAAAACAACTTGCATTAAATTTTTATACTCTTGACGATTGCAGCGATACTACTTATGTGTTTGTTTTTTGTTTGTACCCATGCCCAGAAACAATAGTGCACATTTTGCTTTTTTTTTTTTTAATTCTACCTACAACATACCAATACTGACAATACTGACACTGATACAAATTTTTAGAATGCAGTTTTTTTTTAAATCCTGCCTAACTAATGCTGACCCAGGCCTTAAACCCTAACACTAACCCTTACACTGACCTAAATCAAAACTTGATCTGGCTATGTTTTCAGAATTTTTCATTTTTATTTTAGTGCCCTGTCATACTGGTGCGATTTGAGAATTGAAATCACACCTGAAATCGCATCTAATGAATGTGAATGTCAATGTCTTAACATTTACGATTTTTTTTGCAGCGCAATTTCTAAAGTAGTTTTTGCATTACTTTTTCTGCAGTTTTGTTGTGATTTTACATACATAGAATATAATGGGAATTGCACTGCAAATTGCAAGAAATCACTGACACAAGTAGCAAAAAAGTCATCAGAAATCGCACCTGAAATCACGCTGAAATTGCATACAAATTGAGCAACTTTAAATCCTGGAAGGAGAAAAAAATACAATGTATCCTTATCTCTGTTCAGAAGAGTTAGAAAACACATGGGCGGGTTATACAGTGACTCCTTCCTTCCTTCCTTTCACCCACCCTTCCTTCCACTCACCCCTCCTTTCCTTCCTTCCACCCACCCCTTCCTTCCACCCACCCCTCCCTACCTTCCTTCCATCCACCCCTTCCTTCTACCCACCCTTCTTTCCATCCACCCCTTCTTTCCTTTGTTCCTTCCTCCCTTCCACCCACCCTTTCCTTCCTTCTACCCCTCCCATCCACCCCTTCCTTCTACCCACCCTTCTTTCCATCCACCCCTTCTTTCCTTTGTTCCTTCCTCCCTTCCACCCACCCCTTCCTTCCTTCTACCCCTCCCTTCCTTCATTCCTTCTAGGGGGAGAAGTTGTGGGGGGGGGGGGGGCAAAAATGCCAACTGAACCCCCCCTCCCCCAGAAGAAAAAATTATCTACAGCCCTGCTTTTACACTAAAACATTAACCCTTCCTGTAACCTGTACACTAACACTTACACTAACCTTGCTTGTAATCTAAACACTAACCCCTCTGTAACCTAACACTAGTCACATTAACCTACACTGTAGCCCTTACACTAACAATAATCCTTCCTGTAACCTTAGAACCCACATACTGATTATTTTGTGTGAATTTTAATTGCAATAATATTATTAATATTTTTTTATATTTTCACAGTATAAAATGTAGCAGCTATGGGATGGGACTATGCCCTGTCTTTTTTCACATTCATACCTGTATTAACCCCATAGTTAATACAACTGGCTTATCAATATTCTGAGCTGTGTGATTACCTTCTTTAGTTTAGATGCCAATTTGTCTTCAGTGAGGAACAAACATTAATTCAAGGTAAATGGCAGTTTGATGCATCAGTTCACATAACAATCTGTGGATGGCTTATTGCTTTTCATGCTTTGCAACTGTGAGCCTATGAAATGAAAGAAGGGCAACAAGAGTAATTTATAAAGTAACATATGTTGTACGTATACATAACATTTTTTTTCTTTTTTTGTTCATTTTTATTCCTTTGTTACATTCATATTACATACGGTAACAAGGTAATAAGGTTACATCCTTATTTTCCTTTTCGCTTAGTGCAGTAGCCACAACTGCACAGTTGATATAGTGACAGGATAATTGCAGCTAATGCAATTACATTATCATGATTGCTCTTTGACGCCTTCCTCATAAACACTACTGTCATGAACAAGACTTCTGGTGGTCACTTCTGCTCTCAGCACAATTTATGGGCCAGTTGCTGTCACAGAAAGCCTTCGGGTGCCAACAGTCTTTTGGAATATAAGCTTATAGATCAGGATGTGAGCCCATCCAGTCCTTGGGATGAGCTGAAGTCTCTGAAATTGTCAAAGAGCTGGATTGCCAGCTAGGCCACCTACAAAGGTACTTAGGGCCCACTTGGTGTCCAGGAATCTCTGTCCTACTCCTCAGTGCCAATAAATTACCTCTTCCCAGCTTTCCCACTCTAGGTAATCTTACATAGCTAATCTCAATATAAAAAAGGAAACACATTTTTTTTAGGGCTCTTTCACATGAATGGTCAGTCTGGACTTATCTATTGTGAATCCAGAGGGAAACACAATGAGAGGGTGGATGTTAATAGAAGGACATCTGTGTACATCTGCTTACATCCAACTCAGTTTGTGTCCACAGAAAAAAAAAGGTGTGCATCCAAGAACTTATTGTATGATTTTAGGGTTTTAAAGTAAAAAGAAACAAAAGGTCAATAGCATTACAGCTTGATAAGGTGAAAGACTGCAATGCAGAAGGTGGGAGTGTGTATTTTATCATATAAATATTACAAAAGACAGAGGGGCATAGGTACTTTTATGAAAAAAGGAGGTTATAAAGATGTTAAAAGAGCTTTCAGGAATTTGTATTCTAGAGGAGTGAAATAA